AAAAGTGTTCCTGCAGTTGTGACCTCAGTCACGATGGCAAATGCTGAGCCAAATGGACAGTCCTTTCCTTATAAACCAGATTCTTGAATTCAGTGGAAATGCAAACACTCTGATGGCTTTCAATGAACCGGAGTAATTCAATGGGCACTCTGATGCAGGCTGCAGTGAGCTGAAAATTGGTCAGGGAGCTTCTATGGACTGCATTCTTATGCCATTATGTAAAGGACAAATACTACAGCGGAACAGAAATTTGCTGAGAAGCAGGATATCAAGCAAATTAATAACCAAGCCAGCTTTCAGGAAGGCAAGGACAGCTTAAAATGTTTGTGTTGAAAATATAATTGCCTAAACTAAATAAAGGTAGTCCTTGACTTACAACTGTTGGAAGAAATATCCATCTGGTTCACTTCTAACCCAGGAGAAAGACACTGGAAACATGGACGCTGTTTGGAAAGATTGGTTTAATGATGAACAGAACCACCAAGCATGCGGTCCTGGTGCAGCTGACCACATGGAGTTGAGAGTGGGTGGCTTTTATACCTTCTCCTGTGCTTTGCACTTGAACTTCCTGTTCCTGTGCAAGAATATGTATTCTATTGATTGTTGTAGGGGTCATAGCTGGCTCTGTAGGTTGTCTGAGCTCCCAGGTTTGGTTAAAGTTTGAACTGCTGATGCAGTGAAGGAGCATTGGGCAATTCCTATTATAGCTGAGTGCTAATCCTACCTTTGTTCAGATCTTGCTGCAGAGAATGTTTGCTTATGAATAGAGCTAGCTATCTCTTTATCTCTTAAGTGCTGACATCTGCTAATGGTATTAAGAAAGGTAGGGGCTGCTTTCCAAGAGCATGTTTCTCCATTTCTCATCCAGGGAAATATAATATTCTGCCTTTTTAATATTTTTCAAAATATTTCATTCTTCTAGGAGACGGGTGGGTGCTAACTTTCTACGCGACAATGATCGTTCTACGCGACAGTGATCATTCAATGGCAGTGAAAAAAGTGACTTATGACCATTTTCACAGTTACAACCTTTCCAGCATCCCCATGGTCACGTGATCAAAATTCAGATGCTTGGCAACTGGTTCAACTTTAAGACCGCTGCTATATCCTGGAATCATGTTTTACAAAAGGTGATAAGCAATCTTCTGATAAGCAAAGTCAATGGGGAAGCCAGATTCCCTTAACAACCATGTCACTAATTTATCAGCTGATAAATGATTCACTTAACAACTGTGGCAAGAAAGGTCATAAACTGGGGCAGAATTCACTTAACAAATGTCTTGCTTAACGACAGAAATTTTGGACTCAATGGTAGTCATAAGTCAAGGACTACCTGCAATAGTGTTAAGGTATTTTTCAGCTATGAGTACAGATGAGATGGGGGAAGCCTACATTTAATAACAAAACATGTACAGAGTGAACAGTATGCTAAATTCTCCTCAGGATTCCACCTAAGGCTATTGCCATAATTTTCAATATTTTTTTAACCCTGGTTATGTTTCTAGTTTCAGAATTCAGTTAATTCTTTTGCTGATGCAAACACATGCACACACACACACACACAATTTCAGGTGCAAAATGGACATATTTTATAAACACTTTATAAAAATGTAATAAATCATCAAACCTTAAATTTGTCAGCCCCTACTTTATAATGTAGTGTGCATCAATAAAGATACATTAACTGCTGAGCAATTGTAGTTTAATGATCAGAACGATTATATTGTCATTTCAAGCGACATAAGCATGAGGATGAAGCAGCATAGCTGTAATATCAGTCATCATTAGCATCTGTAAGTACGGTAATATTACCATATAAAGCCTAAAACTGGGATTACCTGATTTGAGCTACAAAAATTCAGATTAGCACTAGAATCTAGAAGAGAGCCAAGAGTTGGTTTTGCATGTGTCTTTCCTATTATCTAATGCAGGGTTGTCAAACTCATGGCCCGCAGGCCAAATGCATCATGCACTGACCATGTCCACCCCCAGTTTAGCGAAGTGGGGGCCAGTTGTGATAAGTCACGTGATGACAACATGTTGCGAGTTTGACACCCCTGATCTAATGGCTGCCTCATACAAAAAGGATGGGAATGAAGCGTATAGGTAGTCCTTGACTTAATGATCATAATTGATCCCAGAATTTCTGTTGCTAAATGAGACATTGGATAAGTGAGTTTTGTCCCATTTTATGACCTTTCTTGCCACACTTGTTAAGAGAGTCACTGCAGTTGTGAAGTTAGTAACAAGGTGGTTACACGAATCTGGCTTCCCCATTGACCTAGATTGTTTGAAGGCTGCAAAAGTGGCTTACATGATCCTGGGACATTGCAACCGTCATAAATACGAGTCAGTTGTCAAGCATCTGAATTTTGATCAAGGAGATCCTGCAATGGTCGTAAGTATGAAAAATTGTCATTTTTTTTCAGTGTCATTGTAAACTTGAAGGGCCACTAAATGAACTGTTATAAGTCGCGCATTACCTGTATTTCGGATACCTTCATACAAAGATTCTGTCCTAGTTCAAAAGCAGCCACAGGCCTTTATAATCCTACTCTTTGGCTAAATTGGCAGCTTACCTGACTTATTTCTTTTTAGCCCTAAAATAACCCAAACCACATAAAAGCTTGCTTTTTTCCTAAATAATGACATTCCACAGAATTTATGGGTATTCCATTTCCTCCCTGGAGCAAAACCCTTGTTTTCTGAGCCTCAGCCACCACCGAGGTCTTTTAAAGGGAATATTTCCTTGATTCCATTCTGAAATGTCAAGATTTTAACAATTTCCCTTTCCCTTTCTAGTGGACCAGGCACTTGGAAAATGCCCAACTTTTTTAAAAACTTTTTTTTCTCTCTTTCCCTTTTATGTGGAATGGGGAAATGAGATTTTTGTTACTCCCAAGGCAGAGGAAAAGTCCGCTTACAAGGAGTTCTTGTTCAAATTTCCTAAAAATTAAGAATTTTCTCTAGAAAATTTGCAGGCTATTCTTGCCTCTAACAACTGCAATAGGAGACATTAGGAAAAGTTGCAAATGTTATGACCAGGAGTGGGCTTCAAATAGTTTAACAACCGGTTCTCTGCCCAGTTGCCGGGTGGGCCTGGCCAAGGTGTGTGGCCTAGTCGGCCTTCTGCACCACCCTGGGGCTCTGGAGGCTCTCTGGAGGCCGGAAATGGGCCCATTTCCAGCTTTCTGGAACTTCCAGGAAGCCTGTTTTTTGCCCTCCCTGGGCTGCGGAGGCTTTCTTCGAGCCTCAAGGAGGGCAAAAATGGTGTTCCTGGGCTCCAGGGGTTTTCTGGAGGCCAGAAATGGCCCCGTTTCTGGCCTTGCAGAACTTCCAGGAGGTCTGTTTTTTTGCCATCCCCAAGCCTCTTCATGGGCCCTGCACTTACCTGCGATCCAAAACAGGCCACGTGGGGACTCCGAAGAGGGGCGGGGTGGATGGGGCCAGGCAGAGGTGGGATTTGCCAGTTTGCCAAACCGGCCATAAAATTAACAACCAGTTCTCTCGAACTGGTGTGAACTGGTAGTAGCCCATCCCTGGTTATGACTAGATATGCTACCTTTGCAGCAATCGAGAGGTTTTTCTTCTAAGAGGAATGGTTGCTTCACTTTGTTACAAATGCTTACATATTTACAAGTAAGGAAAAGTATGGATATATAGTAAAGACCTAGGGTGGCAGGGAGAACAACCAATTTAATTATTGGGGTGGAAATGAGATGTTGTTGTAGTTGTTCATGAGCAGGCAGTATCTTAAATGGGCATCTTTTTGAACGACTTTGAGATTTGGGGTTTTTTAGTCTTCTGCTGGTTAGTTGGAGGAAGCACTGATTGGCTCGTTGTCTTCTCATCATCTTCTCAGTGTACTTAAGTCAGCAGGAGTGAAGATGTTTGGCAAATCTTTGAACTGTTTTGGAGGGATTTGGTAAATGTCTATGGAGATTCTCAGTCATCCAGCTTATGGTTGTCTCAAAGGTTCTTTTTCAAGAGGCAACTGGACTTTCTTGTTTTTCTTTGAAGATGTTTCACTTTTCATCCAAGAAGCTTCTTTAGCTCTGACTGGATGGTAGAGGATGGAAGGATTTATATTCCTTGCAGACAGCTGGTCATTTGCATTCTTTTAGAAAGTCATTGAGGCCACTTGGAGATTTATCTGTGTTCCTCAGGATGACCTGAATAGTGCAAATGGATGTGGAGCTTTCTTGGAACTGCTGAAAGGTCTGCACTGTAGAATGGAGATAGATGATATTGTATCCTTCCCCTTCTATTGAGAGAGGGCTGTTTAATTTTGACATAGATGACCTGTTTGACCCTTCTTTCAAACCAGCGGTCCTCTCTTGTCCAAAATGCTGCCTTCAAAAGAGTAGTCTTTGCCTTTTAAAAGGCAAGGGGAAGCATATGACACATTTATCTCCAGTCGACAACACAATCCTTTCAGCAGTTCCAAGAAAGCTCCACACCCCTTTGCACCATTCAGGTGAGGGCACATATAAACTACCAGGTGGCTCAACAACTCTCTAAAAGAATGCAAGTGATGAGCTGGCTGCAAGGAGTATAAATCCTTCCATTCCCTACCATCTAGTCAGAGCTGAAGAAGCTTCTTGGATGAGAAGCGAAATGTCTTCAAACAAAAAAGAAGGAAGTCCAGTTGCCTCTTTAAAAAAGCACCTTTGGGTGAGATTGGGTAAAAAAAACAGTGCCATGTGCCTTTATACACCATACTGTTTTTGGATCAGCTGCACATTCGAAGGAATGGAATAAACTCCAAGACTTTTCAAGTGGGTAGTAAAGAAGACTTAACACAAAGCTGAGCATCTTTTCAGCAATGCACATTTTTAGGGTGGGGCAATTAAAACTCAGCATTGCCATTCCATACCCAAACCAATGTTGGTTTTGGAACCAAAGGTCAGCTAAGTCATAGTTACTTCTCTTCTATCTGATTCCGGCCAAATCTAAGAAAACTCACTTTTTCACTCTTTCTCTCTCTCTCTCCTTCCTAGACTGCAAGCTCTGTTGCAGCACCTCCTTGGAAAGAGAGTACCAAAAATACCAAACCAGGCAAAGCAGTGGTGCTGAAGCCCTGCATAGAAAGCAGCAGCCCAGGAGTGGCAGACCTATCCAAGTGGAGCCTTCTCCTAGCCCAGTTCAACTGTGACATGGTGCAGGTAAAGAAAGAAAATTTGCAAAGGAAGAAATTGGCTTGACTGTTACCCCAAAAGAGAGGACAATAAAAGGCTGTCTTCTGCTCTTCTTTTCGAAGCTGCAGTAGAAAGGAAGAGAGCGCAGTCTTTTGCTGCCAAAGGACTTTCCTTTATTAGAGTGAGAGGACGTGCAGATGGAAAGAAGCAAGGTTCTTTGGCTAGCGGGAGGGAAGCTGTTGCTATGGCATGAGGTCATCCTTGGCAGTCTCTCTTTAAGGCAAAGGACAGAGGACAGTAGGTCAGTCCACAGAAATGTTGCTTTTTTTTTTTTCCTCCATTTTTTTTTTGAAGGAAAGGGCATGACATAGACGTCTCACTTTTGTGCAGGAAGGGTGGTTAAATGTGTTGGTGTAAGTCTGCGAACACAGAATGGGCTGTGAACATGTGCCTTCAAATAAAACAGTGAAGTCAACGATTGTTTTTAGAAGGTTCTGAAAGTCTTGAATATGGACTCCAGTAAGGAAAGACCCTGGTTTACTGTCATCATTTAACTGTCACTTCACACTGGCCATGAAATAAATTGCTCAATTACTTTCTGCTGACAGTTTAGAAAGAGTCGGATGACACAAACACAAATGATCTAATGGTGTCCCACCTGTTCTGAGAAGCTGCTAATGCTTGCCTGGTTCTTGGATGTAGGCAGTCCAAGACAGAAGCTCAGATTGTGCAATTTCCTTGACTGCCTCCTTTCTAATCCCAATATTTCTTGGTTTAAGAAGCACAAAGCAAGAATGTGGATGTTGTGTAGATATCAAAGTGAGTCATATAGCTATGAGTTTAATAACTGAACGCTGATAGATTTAGCAGTCCTTAGTGAAGATGAAAAGCTGCTGGAATAGTGAATATTTTATTACTTGAAGCATCTAAATGCATTACTCAACTTTTAGGGCAGGTCTGTGTGTAGAAAGATGGAATGACTGGGTTTCACATAGCAACAGTAATTGGGCTAATGTCAGGTGTAAATAACCAGGAATAACCATTCATTGAATTCAAAGCACGGGGGAGTTTATTATTGCTACCTATACACAAGAATCTAACAAACTAATGGTCAAAGCTAAACTGGCTAGATAAGGGTCAGTGGAATTCACTGGAGGCTGGATTTGGGTCTGTTGTGGCAACGCAGTGATTCCAAACTGATGACATGTTTAACTCCACCTTGCAGCTCAGCCTGCTCTTCTCCTACAGCTTATTCATTTCATCTAAACCATGAGCTGTCTGTTGAATAATTCACAATGAATGGGTTCATACATTGTGCAAAACTTAAGCAACCTTCATTACACCTACATATATGAACCAAGTCAGTTGTGCTCCCCAAACCTATAGCCACTCCGGAGGAAAGAAGATACATGTGTTGTAAATAGGAAATTATCTTCCTCCAAGTTAGATTGTGTAATCATCCAGCTAATCTGTATTCTGGCAGCAGCTTTCTGGGATCAGGCAGCATTTTTTTTCTAGTGCTTGCAATCAGATATTTAATTAGAGTTGATAGGATTTATACTGTGGCTCTTCTACTATGGAACAATATTGCTTTTCTAAGGGACTTTTAGTACCAAAAGGCATTACTCAGATTACCTGCATGCGTGGCCAACATAAGTCTCTCTTAAGCCTCATCCTCTAATCCAGTGTTTCTTAACCTCAGCAACTTTAAGACACGTTTTATTCCCATGCTGGTTGAGGAATTCTGGGAATTAATGTCCACATGTCTCCACATTGCTATGCCTCTGTAAATTTTTGGTTTTCTGCAGTCTAGTTATAGTTGTTTACATTGTCTTAGAAAGTTTTATTTATTTAAGAAAATGTATATTGCTGCCTAACTCATTATCAGTGACTCTAGGTGGCTTACAAAGACAAAAACCTAATATAAAATAATAAAAAGCAATAATCTCTCACCCTCCTGGTAGACAACAGCTAATCAAATAAGCCACTTGATGGGCGCCATCCCACTCTGGGTTCCCCAGGCCCATTGGCAAAACCAGGTCTTCAGGGCCTTCCAAAGAGGATCGGGGGTGGGGAATCTTATTTCTGTGGGGATGATGCTCCACAGGGAGGGAGCCACCACAGAGAAGACCCTTCTTCTTGGTCCTACTAGATGTTCCTCCTTAGGAGAGGGGACCCACAACATTTCTTGCTTCCCTGCTCTGTAACCAGGAGAAGATGGTCCTTCAAATAACCTGGTCCCAATCCATGTAGGTCTTTAAAAGTGACAACCAGCACCATGGATAGGACACAGAAGCAAACCAGCAACCAATGCAATTCCTGCAGGAGAGATGACACATATGCACACCTAGGCCTGCACAAAACAGTGTGGGCCGCTTCATTTAAGTTTTGCTGGAAGCCTCACTACAGCATTATAGTTCTGTAACATCTACTGAAATAAATACCATGGGTATATAATCTTGTTTGAATTTTTTTACTGCTATACTAGAAGACATAGTCATAGTGCCCTATATCCTTTCTCTTCTCCCACACAGGAGCTGACTTTTGAACTTCCTGAAGGATGTATAGCAAAGTATAGCAAACCATCTATATTTTTTACACCTGCTTATTTTATGTCCCTTTCAGGCTGAAAAATGGATGCGAGGAAAACTTCTTGATCTGAAGGATGGTTGCAGATTTCAGGAATGGGAACGGATAGCTCAAATATTACAGAGAGAGATGAAGGATTTTGAGAACACCATCATCAAACTGAACCAGGTAAAATGTGGTCTGTGGGCTGCTTCCTCTTACTTTACATCTGCATGAAAAAAGACACCTGCATCCAATTCTTCAGTAGCTCAGAATGGCTTAAACCACCTCCTATCTACAAGATCCAGAAAGGGGAGGAAATAATAATTTAAAAAATTAAGCAATCTTTTTCATGTTTTTCTGGAAAAGGAACAAAGTGTGTATTCTTTTACTTCGGTGTAGCATGTTAATAGACATAAAAATAAATATTGCATAATTGCATTCAAAAATAAAACTATCACATTTTGTTACAAGAGAAGCAGATGTTCGTGAGATAGTGGGCTGTTGGAAATGTGCCAGTCCCTGCTTAAAGGCCAACTTTTTCTCCCTCTGTGGAATTTTCCACCAAATACCTCCCAGCTAAGTAAAGAATAAAGTCCCGGAAGAAAGCAACAGCAAACTGCTACAGTATTGTTGCCAAGAAAACAACATGGATATGTCCATGAAATCACCAAGTCAAGCTCAACGTGAGGTTTTTAATGCTTAATAGTTTCCTTCTTACCTATTCCACAGTTAATTTAAAACCAGATGACGATGAAATTTACAAAAGTTTCTATGAAAGCAGATTTTCTTCCAGACAAGAAAACAAACAGACTTCAGTTCTCTTTCTCACAACTACTTTATCAGAACATTTTTTGTGCCATTTTCTCAGGGACAAGGCCAAGTTTGTCATATAGGTTCTTGGCTGTCCACAAACCAAACTCCCTTCCTAATGAATTCCTTCCTATGCATGCCACCTTAATATTCCAGGAACTGGAAGTTTCTTTGCACGTAATAGAGAGTTTCCTCAGTTGCCACTTTTTTATATACAGTACTATTCAATTCTCATCTGATTGGTTCAACAGTTATAGGATTCAACTGAGTCTTAGTATCCACAGTAGACTAATCTTTTAGGTTAAGAGACAGTGTACACACAATCTTTTTTGTAATACTTTCCCATTGTCCCCAAATTAGTAGATTTTGGTCCTCAATTTATGAAAAGTTCCTCACCTGCTACATTCTATTAACATACTTTCATAACTGACATTTGAAGGCAACTTTGCAATCTTGCTAGTTGATTTCTCAGAGGGCTTCATTGTCAAACTTTTTTTTAAAAAGGACAAATTGGGTAAAATAGAATATGCTGTGGAAATATTATTTTTTGATTGCTAACTTCCTTTTCTGTACTTTTTTTCATTGGGTAAATGCATTTGCAAGACAATACGGTTGTACTTTCAACTTTGTTAGTATATTTTTCCCATCTTTCCTGCAGATGGGTGAGCAGCTGATGATCCAGCCAAAATCCAGCACAGAGATAGAGAGACGACTTCAGACACTGCAAGAACAATGGCAATTGCTAAAGCACATGGCAACAAATCAGACTAAAACAGTAATTGGGTTCAAGAGCTTACAAGAGTTCAACCAGAAAGCTGAACAACTAGAAACCTGGATCAGGCAGAAGGTAATTACTTGGGATACATAGGAACAAGGCCAAAAATGAGTCCCAGATACATTTTCTTTTCAGAGATGCGAATTTTGTTCTGGTGGTGGAAGTATGACTTATTTTTTTTTCTGCATCACCATTCTCCGTGATGGAAGTGGGCAACCTTTTTGAGTAAGAACCTCCTTGGATGTGACCAGTGGTAATCTCTCTGGAATGGGCAGCACTGAAAACTTCTTTTTAAATTTTATTTTGTGGGTCATTAGGATTGAAGTAGCTGCTCAAGCCTTGCAAAGGTCTAAATATCCATTTTGCCCTTTAAGATCCTCTAAAATGGCAAAACATAGTCTTTTGAGGAGGAGAAACCCTAGCTAAGAAAAAAGACTCCCAAAATTTTACTCCTGTTTGCTCTGGGAGGCATCTCCAGAAATTGCAGATAGAGAGCTGAGGGCTATTCACTTTTGGTCTATGAGTTCATTAGTTCAAATATTTAAGAGACTTTTAAGTGGATAAATTTTCCTCAATAATCTAATTTGGGATAGAAAAAAATATTTCTTTTCCCCCTCCCCTTTTTTAATTTTCTTCCTCAAGCTAGTGTTACTCAGATGTGGTGGATTTCAGTTCCAGTAGTAAATCCAAACTTCATTTTTTTTAACTGTTACCTTTAATTAAAATGTTTTTAAGGTTTTATATAAAGGAAAAGTTTTGGCCATTTCTCTTGAAAGCTCAAAACAGAGAGAAAGCTAGAAGAACCTTATGATGGTCAAAGTTTATCTTGAGTGCCTTTCAGTCTTCAAAGAGATTTTTTTTGCTTTGAATTCTATTAAACATTTTAATTTTAGTATCCATAACTTCTGTCCTTCACTTATATTCCATTTACTGACATAAATTAAAAAATTTCTAGAGTTTCTTTCCTAAACTTGAAAAGAATGAAAATCCTACCCCATCATAAATATTAGCAACCTTATTTAATTTTGCACAATTTACACAGATCTTAATATTCAAGTTTCTCTGTTATGCATATTTACAAACACAATTCCTGTGTGCATTTGGAAGAAATATTTCCATCTTTTAAAATTTCCTGTAAATATTATGGTCACTGTGTTTTCCAGGATCTCACATATTTTAATCGTCTTTACCTCTCTAGGAAGAGAAGCCTTTGCTAGCTATTTTACTACAAGAGAAGGCAGATAAGGTACAAATTACCCGGCAGATCCTTGACTTAAAGCAGGTAATCTTCCTGACATTCCTTATGGGAATTTGTGTTGTGAAGGGTGTTTCTACTTTGGTTTTACTTTCTGTATCTGATGCATTTGCAAAACAGATTCTGTCTTAGAAGAGTTCTGCAGATCTCCTTAGAGTTGGACTCAGACTGAGCAAGTCCTCTTCAGGGACCTAAAGCCATTGTTTTGCAGAGTTAGCTGGGAAGAGTTACATTCCCAAGAAAGAGGAGAGAGTCCTTTGGACTGCAAACTTTGCCACTAGTTTATTAGATTTATGCCTTCCTTGGTTTGTAAAGGCTTAAGAGGTGATTTGGTTGACTCCATGCAGGAATGTCAATTTCCATGAGGGAAGGAGTGGTTCTTCTATCCTTGAAGGAAGTGGTGGCATATCACTGCTTGACCCAAGAGCCGTGGACAATTTTTGTCCAGTCTCCAATTTTCCTTTTTTTTTTTTTTAAGGAAAAATTGTTGGGAAGGTTGTTTGGACTGTTGCTTCAGTAGGCTGTAGAGGAGGATTATCTGGACCTTTTTAGTTGCGTTTCAGACAGGGGCATAATACTAAGGCAACATTGCTTGTACTTGTTGATGACCTCTAGTACAGGCAGTGGCGGCTCTGGTTCTCCTTGACCTTGGAGTGGTTTTCAGTATTGTTGATCATGGCATTCTATGGAGGCTAGAGAAAACTAGTGGTTTTTCTCCTTTCTGGGTGGTTCCAGTTACTGTTGGCAGGAGGAAGAGTTTAAGCACGAGGTTCCTCACTTACGTGGTGTCTCAAGACTCAATACTTTCAACTCTTATCCTTAAAATCTACATAGGGTTACTAATTGATACCCAGTTGTACAGCTTGACCACAGGCTGCCCAAGTGATGTAGCCAATATCTTCTGCTAAAGTCTGTGGGGATTCAGATGGGGACAAATAGACTCCTGCTCCATCAAAGGAAGAATGGGTGACTGCGGGTGTTTGGGCTCTTGATCCTGGAAATTGTCCACCTTTAGTCCTGGATGGAACACCACTTCCCATTTAGGACTGGCATGCAATATGGGAAATTTCTGGACACACAACTCCTGCTAGAAGAGCAGGGGGTGGCCCGGAAGATCTGTGCACATATCTATCTGTCGCTGGACTAGGAGGTTCTTCGGCCATCCACGGACTGTGAATAGTAATAGCACACCTCAATATGCACACATAATCTGGCTACTCTCTGCACGGTACTTGTTGCCAGCTTAATTTCCAATGGGGCAAAGAGAGAGATATTTTAATGAAAACCAAGTTTGCGTTACTTTATTGTCTCCTCTCTTCTGCTTTTCCCCTACACTCAACTTAGGAGGAGCTGCAGTTCCAAGCAGTGCATGAGGAATTGAACAGCCTGGCTCAGAAGCTTGAGAAACAAGGGAAGAGTGAAAGCAGAAGTATCATGGCACGACGCAAGTACCTGAATAAAATGTAAGCCCAGGCAGCAGCAGAATGTACTGGTGCAGAGACGATATTAGGACAAGCTAATTAAGACAAGCTAATATTAGAGTGTCATCTAATCACATTTCTCTTAAGTTTCCATGCTTGATATCTTTCTGTTAAAATGCAACAATCAAGGCAGCTTATTCAAGAAGGAGACAGGGCTAAACTGTTTACCTGTCCTCCTTCCATCCTTTCAGGTGGCTTCAGCTTCAGAGGACATTAAAGGAACATCATGAAACCCTGCAGCAGGCACTAGAAGCAGCTTCTTTCCTCCAGCAAGCAGATGTGCTCCTTTCAGTCATCCATGCAAAGGTACTAAGGGATGAGATTACATTCTAGGCAACTGCACCATAAAAATAGATCTGGGTCATTGAATTACCTAGAAGCATGTATTTGGTTCAGCAGGATGCATCACTTTTACCCAAGCCTTCAATTATGTGCAGTTTAATCCAGACTTCAGTTATGCTATATCCAGCAAGCTGATTGTGTGGCAAGATTGGATAATCAACCCTGTAGCCAAGAAGGAATACTGCTCCCTTCCCTGCAATATTTCATGGCATGCAGTTCTAGCTATACTATCTTATTTTATAAAGGGTAGGGTAATAAGGAATGGCTTGATGCTGTCATTTTGTGTTCCTTAACAGATGTCCTGCATTTCAGCTTCTAACAAGGTTGGGTGAAGCTGCTGCACAATTTCTAACTTTACAATATGAAGATTTATAATTGAAGTTATTCACCCAGTTAGATTTAAAAGTCGTCCTGAAGCTCAGAAATCTTGGCTTGGAACATAAAAATTCAAACTTTAAAAATTTATTT